TTCCCAGTCAGGGTACATACCCAGGTTATGGGTTCGATCCTTGGTCGGGGTGTGTATGGGAGACATCAGATCAATGTTGCGTGCTCTCTCCCTTTCTCTAGAATCAATAAAAACATTAAAAAAAATCAGCAGATCTGTTAATGCTATCACATGAGAGTAAATGGGTTCTTTGTTTTTGGGTTTCCAGAAACCACCCCTCTTTCAGAAGAATGAATAATCCTTGTACAGCTGGAAGGGTCAGTGACAGATTGGAGGTAGTTAAGTGTGATGCCCTGTCTCCAGTTGATTGAATTGTCAACATACTGATTGCCAGAGTGCTTTTTTTTTTTTTATCCTTACCTGAGGACATTTTTCCATTTTTTATTCAGATAGAGCAGGAGGGAGAGAGAGGAAGAGAGAGAGAAACTTTGACGTGAAAGGGACACATCAAGTGGCTGCCACCCGCACAACCAACCAGGGCCGAGGACAAACTGCAACCGAGGTACGCGCCCTTAGCGGGAACCAAACCCAGGTCTCTCTGGACCGCAGGCCGACACTCTAACTGCTGAGCAAAACCAGCCAGGGCTCAGAGTGCTTTTAAGCAGAGTTCTTATTCTTTTGACTTAAAATTGCACAATAAAATCTTTCTCATGAATTTTGAACATTTGTAAATGAGGATTGTTGGGTCTTCCGTCCTTTCCAGTCTAGTTCTCTTCTCAGATCCTTTAGCTGTTTTATCTATGTCTTGGAAAGAAGAGTTGATAGTATGTGGTGCCTGATAAATTCCTTTATCATTCCACTTAGCATGATTCAGTCTGTGGATGACACATACCTGAAAATGTGGTTTCCAGTTCCTCTCTTTAATCTTGCATATACATTTACTATTCTTTTCATTACCAGTTTCTTCTGCTCTGGGGCCGTGTATCCTTTACAGCCAAACCAACCAACCCTCTCTGGGATTCTCTTTTCTCTGATGATCTAGTGTCCCAGACCCAGTGCTGAATGCTTTCACTGTTTTGTAACTAGTGTGCCATACCATTCTGTTTTGGCTGAGGGGCAAGAAGGGAAAGGCAGCATACAAAAAGGACACAGATCACTAGAGACAGACTTTGGCCTTTTCTGTCCAAGATCATCTTATTTCTTAAACTAGTTTGTCAAAAGAAAAAAAGACAGCTCACGAAAAGTTGGATGACTCCATTAGGCAAGCATGGGGCTATTAAACAAGTGGTACAGATGACTTTGCTATAGTGTTTCAGAGTTGGGAAGAGATCACCAAAATGGAGTGACTAGGGAAATTGGCAGTGTATTTTTGGAAATTTCAAGTTCTAGTGTTTACATATTATGAAACTGAAGAGAATTACTGCTTACCCAACTGTGAATATAAAAAACTGACTGAGGCCAAGATTGAACCTGCAAACCAGGTACGTTCCATTGATCGGGAATTGAATCTGAGACCCTTCAGACCGAGGGCTGATGCTGTAACTGCTGAGCCAAACCAGTCAGGGCTGGACTGCATTTTAGAGCAGTGGCTTTGGTGGTAGTTTGGAGAATTAATTGAAAGGAACAAGACTTATGTCTTTTTTGTTGTTGCAGTAATGTTAATGGGCAATGATAAGTGCCTGAACTAAAAGACAGTGGCTTGGAGAGAATGGGATAGATTTGAGAGTCACTAAGACATAGACTTGTCAGAATGATGAATGATTAAGTGAGATTGGAGAGAGAAAAGTAACCAACCTCCAAGTTTCTGTTGTGGGCAATTGAATATATGTCATTTATTGTAATTGGGAATCCAGGAGGAGTTGTAGGCTTTTTCTTTAAAAAAAATTTTTTTTCTCTATTGATTTTTAGAGAGGAAAGGAGAGGGAGAGATAGAAGCATCGATGAGAGAGAACATCAATTGGCCACCTCCTGCATGACCCCCACTGGAGATTTGGCCCACAGTCTGAGCATGTGCCGACTGGGAATTGAACTGATGACCTCTTGGTGCCATGGGTCAACGCTTAACCAGTAAGCCACACCGGCTGGGCGTAGGCCTTTTCTTTGATTTTGGTTTTCAGGAGCAGGAGTTAAAGCTAACATAACAATTTAGAAAGCTTTTGGTTTTGGACACTTACATTGAGGTACCCAGGGGACATCCAAAGTGGAGATATTCAAACACTTGAATAAATGAATGTGAAACTCAGAATACTGTTGGGTTGGAGAGAATGATTAACAGTTAGTTATTAGTACAGGCATACTTCGAAGATATTGCCAGTTTTGTTCTAGACCACTGAAGTAAAATGACTTGTAATATTTTTGCTGGTGGAAGGTGTTACCTTCAATTTGTAAAAAACATAACATCTGTGAAGTGCAATAGAGTGAGGTATGCCTGTATCTTAGAGGTAGTTGGAATCACAGGTCACCTAGGGAGACAAAGAAAAAGCAGTGAATTGAAGATATGGAATCCAGAGGAGCACACCAGCATTTAAGGAAATAGCCAAGATGAGGAGAGAATGGAATCTCTTAGGCCAAAGGTGGAGAATTTTCAAGGAAGGAAGTCATCAAGGAAGAAGTGTTTGCTGTGTTAGAGTTAAAGGTGAGATTTGAAATTGTCCACTGGATTTAGCAATAAGGAGTTGAACTAGTAACCTTGGTGAGAGCAATGTCAAGTGGAATGGTGAGAGATAAACCATATTACAGGGGGTTGAGGGTGAAATTGGAGATAGCAAATGCTGAGTCCTCTTGTAAGAAGTTTGGTGACAAAGATGAGAACAACAGTTAGAGAAGCCGGTTCAGGGGGATATTTTAAAATGGAGAATAAATTCTATAAAAGATATGAATAAATTGCAAATAGGAGCATTAAAGGAAAATATTAATCCCATTTGGAAGGTTGAGCTGTGCTTTGGTTCCTAGAAGAGTTATTTAAGTACTAGGCTTCAGAAGAGTGGGGTTGATTTCCCTGAGATTATTTCAGAGAAGCTGAGGAAAGATATATTCCTGGTAAAGGAAACAGAAACCACAAAGGGCTGAAGGTGGAAAAATGCTGATGGGCATATTTGGGGAACATTAAATAGTCCAATTTAACCAAATCCTTGGGTTTGTAAAGAAACTGGTAAGAGAAAAAAGTGAGAGTTGAGTTTGGTAATGGAAGAACTCAGTGCGATGCTGTGGGGTTCGATTCTAGACCTTAAAGTACTGTAAGCTATTAATACTTTTTAATCGTGGTAGTTATACGATAAGAGAAGCTGTGCTTTAGAGAATTCTGAAGCAGTGTGGACAATGGTGGGCAAAGAATTCTTGTCCTAAGTAGCCTTTACAGCTACCCTATCTAGGAAATACTAGAGCAAAATGATCTCTATTGTGCTGACGTATTGCTGCTGGGGTTGGGGTGGATTCTTCTTTGTGCTAACTCAAACAAAGCTTCTTTACTAACACTCCTCCCAGTTAAAGAGAATTCAGGGCTTTGTTGCTCTTTGTTGCCCTTCACTGCATGAAATAAGCTGTCCTTGCCCTCTGTAGATACTTAAAGGAAGAAACAACTGTTTACTATGAATATAAATTCATAGAAATATGGTGGCGAGGCTACATTTGAAGACCGTCAAATACTGTCTCACTAAAGAAGGTTAATTTTGCCTGCTTCCATAATATGCAATAGTCAGCAAATGTTGAAAGTTCTGCAGAATGAAAAGCAGGCAAGGATTCACTTTAATGAAGTCAATTCTGTTATCTAAGCACTTCCCTAGACTCTAGCCTGTATCTTCATGTTAAAAGCTACTTCTAGTTTAATAGGTTCTGTTAAATTTTGAATGTTAAAAAGCACTTATTAGATATGTTACTGGCATGAGATACACAGGTAATAGCTCTCTGATTTTACTTGTAAAATACAATATCATTGGTTATATTCTTATCAAGTGTGAAATTAACATTTTGAAATTGTTACAAATAATACAGTATATATTTAAATAAGCGGATAATTTGGTAGCCAAGTGAAAATTTCCAAGTTACCTTCTTTACTAAAAATGGATTACTTTTACTTCATGGTGAAGTTGTTTGAACTAATTTATTCTGTTAATTTCATTTTATTCCCCCCCCCTTTTTTTGGTACATGCCCCTAGCGGGAACTGAACCCGGGACTCTGTGGTCCGCAGGCCTACGCTCCAACCCCTGAGCCAAACCGGTCAGGGCAGTTTTATTTTCTTTTCAATATACCTTCATTTGAAATTATTTTACAACCTTCTTTTCTTTCTTCCAATTTTATTTCCTATTGTCCTTTTTCTACTTACCCTGTTTGTGCTCTTTTTCTTATTCCAGTTCAATTCCTCTGATTTTTTTTCTTCAGCCAAGCCTAATCTAAAATTGGATAGAATGCTTCAGATTGTCAAAAATAATAGATGATATAAAACTGGTTTGTTTCGACTCAGGGGTACATTAGACCAATACTTTGCTATTTGACTTTCCTTCCTAAGTCCTTCTTAAATAGACTTTGCTTATGCTAATATGCTTAATTTACATTTCTTAGTACACTTTTGTAATTGGAGTAAAGTCTCCCTATAGGTTGTGAGAAGATAATCTTGTCCCAGTGTTTGGTTAAGAATTCATGGAGAATGAGTTTCCTTTGACTAATAGGACCTAACTGTAGGCTAATGGTTTTCAGGTTGTTCCTTTGCCCAGCCACATTAGCACCACCTGGTAACTTGTTAGAAATGCAAATTATAGCCCAATCCCAGGCCCACAGAATAAACTGGGAGTGGGGCCCAGCAGTTTTAACAGGTCCTTGAGGCGATTCTGAAGCACAGTCAAGTTTTACAACCATTACTGTAGGATTTAATAATAAAAGAGGCCTCTTGATTTCTAGTGAATTGGTGTTTGGGCCAATAATTGATTTAGGATCTTTTTTGCTTACTTGATTGTCCAAGAAAATAAATGCTCTTTATTCTCATGTGAAGATTTTGTACTCTGAGCTAAAGTAATGGGTACTCATAAATGAGTAATGAAAATAGCATATAGGAACTTTTATCCTTAAAAGTCTTTTTTTTTTTCAGGAGGCAAAACCTTCAACTGAGGACTTGGGGGATAAGAAGGAAGGAGAATACATTAAACTCAAAGTCATTGGACAGGTGAGTTTTTTTTTTTTTTTTTTTTTTTTTTTTTACTTTCCTTGAATATATGAATAATTTTTGACACAGGAAAAATGATTTGAGGAAGGCAGTTTATTTAAAAATGGTATTTTCATTTATTATAGATGCATTTGTTGGAGGTAGAAGAGGCTGATACTGTTTTGTTCTTTGAGGCAGGGTTAGGTCACCTTAATTTCTCCAAATATAACCTTTTTCTTAGTATGCTTCAATGGCAGATACAACAGATACTATTGAGTGATAAGTAAGGCTAAGGCCCACCTTAAACACAAGGGCCTCTTAGCTTTTTTTGTGTGACCCTTTTCCCTTTCCTGACACCTAATTTTTCCAGACTCTGGCCTATGTCTTATTCACCCTTTTTGAGATGTTAACTGATAATTCAGGTTAGCTGAAAATTATTGGAAGAATGCATTTTCATTGTTGTTTTTTTAATGGGCAAAAGAGAGAATTGGTAGACTCTCACCATCAAAGTGAGAGAGTTCCATTTCCCCACGTTCTCCCAAACATGGGATATTACTGGTTCTTCAATTTTGTGCTAGTATGATAGGTAAACATGTTTTACATTTCTCTGATTATCAGTAAGGTGTAATTTTTGGTCTACTACAAATATATTCTATTGATTATGCGTTCATATTCTTTTCTCATTTACTGTGATTGTCTTACTTTGAAAAATTTTTATTAAGATTTTATTCACACACCAGAAAATCCATTTTAAAGTGTGTAATTCAGTGACTTTAGTATTTTTACAAGGCTGTTCACCCATTAATGCTGTTTAATTCTAGAACATATTCATCACCCCAAAAAGACATGCTGTACTCAGCAGTGTAACTCCCCATCCTCCTCTTCCCCCAGCCTCTAGCAAACACGAATCCATTTTGTCTTTACATTTTTATTAAGTAAAATTTATCAATCTCTTTTTTTAGATGGCTTGTAGGTTAAAATCTTGCTTTAGAATAAGGATTTCTCAATGTCAAGATTAGGGCAAAAATTCTCTTAAGAGAAAATATTAAAAAAAAATTTTAAATGTTAGCTCTAATTTGTCTGGATGGGATTTTAGTGTATGGTGTGAGGTTATGTTATAGAAATTTTGTCTGTTCATGAAATTATCCATAGGAAGAGAATTTGTTTTTCTTTATGAATTATAGACACAAAAATACTGTAAACATTCCATTCCCACTAATATAATTTGTGAATGTGATATGCAGTCATAAGGATTAGCTTTGAAATTTTACAGAATGCAAGTGTCAGTATTTATATCTGATGTTTGCCTGATAGTTTGCTTGACAGTGTGGGTAGAAGAAAAGAATCTGTGGTCCCGGTAAATCCATTTGACTAGCTCAGGTTCTTTTCATTTTATTCATGTGCGAGAAACCAGACTCGGGTGATTTTTTTTTGTTGTTGTTGTTGTGGTTGTTAATCCTTACCTGAGAATATTTTTCCATTGATTTTTAGATAGAGTGGAAGGGAGGGAGGGAGAGAGAAAGAAACATTGATGTCAGAGAGACACATGTATTGGTTGCCTCCCGCAAGACCCTGACTGGGCCGGGGATGAAACCTGCAACCCAGGTACCTGCCCTTGACAGGGAATTGAACCTGAGACCCTTTGGGCCAAGGGCCGACACTCTAGCCGCTGAACCAAACTGGCCAGGGCTGGTGTGACTTTCTATAGTAGGATTAAATTTCTCAGTCTGTTATGGTATGTGTCTCTCTTGTAGTTTGACTACTTTCAATGACACTTCAGTTGTGGGAGGTACTTTGTTTTTGAGTTGCTTTGGTGGGGGTTGGGGGGTAGTTGGTGATAATTTAACTTCTTTTATTTTAAATATAGGATAAATATGCAATTATGAAGGAATGCATTCATTGACATATATGCTTTTACTTATACTGCTAATTTTAAAACTCAAGACAGATTGTCTTTAAGTTTGTTTCATTAATTTCTTTTGAAATGGGTATAAAGCAGTGATTAGAGTGTTTCAATAACACCTGTTATGACTACTAAAATAATATTTTGGTGGGAAAATACAGATGACAAGGTTTGTTTCTATTTGTGTAATTAAATTGTTTCAAGTAAAGCAAATAATTTACACAAAGAGGGATAATTTTTTTCTTGTATCTCCTTAGGATAGCAGTGAGATTCACTTCAAAGTGAAAATGACAACACATCTCAAGAAACTCAAAGAATCATACTGTCAAAGACAGGTTTGTATGTTATTGTATTAAATACAATGCTTTATATGTCATTAATTTTTCTTTGTCTTTATGTCTTTACCAGTGTGTGTATGTAATAAAGGCAAGTAAAATTTTGGTGATCACTATGAAATTTCCTTGCTTATAACCATGAATGTTTAGCCATATGTTCAATGTAAGTACTAATGTTATCTTTAAGTACTAAGTTTATTATCTTTATACATAGTACTACAGATTACTGCTAATTGCTTTCTGTGTTTTCAGTATCAAGGGATTTTCTCTTGAAAAATCATATAGAAGTCTAATTAATTTGGTAATTCCAAATTCTCACAGATTCTGGCCTTCATGAGCTAGATTATACCTTTTTAGATTCAAATTTAGGCTCCACCACTGTTTTACTGTGGGACCAAGAACAAGTTATATGCCTTGTTTCCCCTTAGAAAAATGGGAATATTATAGTGCCTATCCCATGAAGATGAAATAATATGACCTACTTAAAGCTCTTAACATAATGCCTAAAAATACTCAATAAATGTTACCCATTATCATTATTAATAAAATACGTTTTAAAAATAAATGTACTTGGAATTAATATATAGATGCTCCTCGACTTACAATGGGGTTGCGTCCCAATAAACTCATCATAATTAAAAATATCATAAATCAAACATGCATTTAATATACCTAATCTATTGAAAGTTATAGCTTAGCCTGCCTTAAATGTGCTTAGAGCACAATATCCAAAAATGCTGGCAACACAGTACACTGTAGAGTATTGGTTGTTTATCCCCCACGATTGCGTTGCTGAATGGGAGCTGTAGCTGTTTGTTGCTGCCCAGCATCACGAGAGAGTATTGTACTGCGTATCAGTAGCCTGGCAAAAGATCAAAATTCAAAAAATTTTTTCCTTTATTTTATAGAAAGAGAGGAAGGGAGAGGGAGAGAGAAACATCGATAAGAGAGAACATTGATTGGCCGCCTTCTGCATGCTCCCCACTGGGGATCCGGCCCACAACCTTGGGCTTGTGCCCTGATTGGGAATCGAACCAGTGACCTCTTGGTGCATGGGTCGATGCTCAACCACTGAGCCACACCAGCCGGCTAATATTTCCTTTTTAAAAGATCCTATAATTAAATTAAAATCAAAGCATATTCTGCCTTTGTAAATTATATTTATTTTATTTAATATATCCCTGGAAAGAATTTAAAATGAATAAAGGGGAAGTGTGCATGGTCTTATATACTTGTGTGTAGTATATATTGAAAGATAGTTTAATTTTTTTTTGGATGTTTTGGGGATGGTATTTAAGTAGTCAGTGGAATCTTAATACGTTGGTATTGAGCAAAACTTTCATAATACTTTTGGACTAGATAAATGATTTTTTTTTTTTAAATCCTCACATGAGGACATTTTTTGATATTTTGTTCAGATAGAGGGAGAGGGGGAGAGAGAGAAACAACGACGTGAAAGGGACACATCAAGTGAGTTGCCACCCACACGACCCAACCAAGGCCAGGGACAAACTGCAACTGAGGTACGCTCCCCTAGTGGGAACTGAACCCAGGTCTCTCTGGACTGCAGGCCAACGCTCTAACCGCTGAGCCAAACTGGCCAGGGCAGATAAATGATTCTTGATTCGTACTTATTATTGAAGTTATTTCCCTTTATTTTTTAAAAATGTGTTTTTTAATGCTCACCCAAGGATATTTTTCCATTATCTTCAGACAGAATCGGGGGGAGGGAGCGGGAGAGAGAGAGAAGAGAAAGAGAAAGAAAGAGAAACATCGAGGTGAAAGAGACACACTGCCTGGTTTGCCTCCTGCATGACCCCAACCAGGGCCGAGGACAAACCACAACTGAGGTATGTGCCCTTGACCGGAATCAGACCCATGACTCTTCAACTGCTGAGCCAAACCGGTCAGGGCTAAATATGTTTTTATTCATTTTTTTTTAGAGAGAGAGAGAGGAAGGGGAGAGATAGAAATATCTGTGTGAGAGAGAAGCTTCAATTGGCTGCTTCCTGCATGCTCCCCACTGGGGATCAAGCCTGCAAACTGGGAGTGTGCCCTGACTCGGAATTGAACTGGGACCTCTCAGTCCATGGGATGATGCTCAATCCACTGAGCCATAGTGGCTGGGCTGAAGTTATTTCTCTTTAAATGAGTCATCTCTTCCCTTATAGCTATTTTGTTGAATAAGTGATTAGAAAAATATATTTTAATATTTGTTGTGATATTATAGTGCTATCTATACTATCACAGGTTTTTTATAGCTTATCTGGCTAGCTACTGTGCTTTACCAAATTTCTGTGATTTAATCTTTTTTTTTTTTTTTTATCCTCACCCGAGGACGTTTTTCCATTTTTTGTACAGATAGAGTGGGAGGGAGAGATAGGAAGAGAGAGAGAGAGGGAAACATCGATGTGAAAGGGACACATCGAGTGGCTGCCACCCGCACAGCCAACCAGGGCCGGGGACAAACTGCAACTGAGGTACGTGCCCTTAGCGGGAACCGAACCCGGGTCTCTCCGGACCGCAGGCGGACGCTCTAACCGCTGAGCCAAACCGGCCAGGGCTTAATCTTTTTTAAATAAACGTTTTTACTGATTTTTTTTTTTTTATCCTCACCCGAGGATATTTTTCCATTTTTTGTACAGATAGAGTGGGAGGGAGAAAGAGAGAGAGAAACATCGACGTGAAGGGACACATCGAGTGGTTGCCACCCGCACGACCAACCAGGGCCGGGGACAAACCGCAACCGAAGTACGTGCCCTTAGCGGGAACCGAACCCGGGTCTCTCGGGACCGCAGGCCGACGCTCTAACCGCTGAGCCAAACTGGCCAGGGCATTACTGATTTTTAGAGAGGAAGGGAGAGAGAGAAACATTGATGAGAGAGAAGCATCAATTAGCTGCCTCCTGCACGCTTCCTACTGAGGACGGAGCCCAAAACCCAGGCATGTGCCCTGATTGAGAATCAAACTGGGACTTAGTCCATTGGGTGAAGCTCAGTCCATTGAGCCACACCCGCTGGGCTCTATGATTTAATCTATTTAAGACCAGTTTTGCTTGTATTGTTGGAAGCTAGTAAGGTTGCTCATCCAATTTCTGATTTTATCTTTTATGTTAGATTACAGATTTCAGAGGAAATTAACATTGTGGTTGAGAGCACAGGCTTAGAACAGATTTGGTCTTAAATTCTTGGCTAGCAGTGTGCCCTCTCTCTATACCTTTGATTCTCTAGCTGTAAAATGAAGATAAAATGGTGAACATTTATGATTATGTATGTAAAATGCTTGAAACAGAGGGCCTAGCAAATAGTTGGTACTCAATATACTGTAATTGTGATAATAGAATTAGCTGTCTAGTTTTATGTTCTGTTCGTTCTGCTGAAGCTTTCATGTTTGCTTTTTGTGCACCAAAGCTTTTATCTTTTCTAAGATTTATGTGAGAGTGTGTGTGTGTGTATGTGTGTATATACATACATATATATATGTGTGTGTGTTTTTTGCCTTTTTAGGGAGTTCCAATGAATTCACTCAGGTTTCTCTTTGAAGGTCAGAGAATTGCTGATAATCACACTCCTAAAGAAGTGAGTAAAATTTCTTCTTTGTGTCAAGAAAAATGTTAAATTCTGCATTGAATGATTTGGTTCACTGGTATTAAATTGCCCATTTCTTGAATATTCTGATGTAAGCAGTATACCACTTGTCAGGGAGAAAAATAATCTTTTGAGTTGAACTTCCGATAGATTGTCTTTAAAAGTGCCAATAAAAAAGAGAAGTTGAAAGTAGAATGGAGTACTGAGATTGTCATAAGGTACAAACTATGTCTTTTTTGAAGATGGACAGATGTTCCTCAAATTTGGCAGATTTCTGGTACACTTTCATGATAATGGTGACCTTTATGTTTTTTGTTTTTTTTATTTATTTATTTTTATCCTCACCCGAGGACATTTTTCCATTCTTTGTTCAGGTAGAGTGGGAGGGAGAGAGAGGAACAGAGAGAGAGAGAGAGAGAAACATCGATGCGAAAGGAACACATTGAGTGGCTGCCACCCGCACAACCGACCAGGGCCGGGGACAAACTGCAACCGAGGTACGCGCCCTTAGCGGGAACCAAACCCAGGTCTCTCAGGACCGCAGGCCGACGCTCTAACCGCTGAGCCAAACCGGCCAGGGCTATGGTTTGATTTTTACTTTTGACGCATTTTGACAACTTGATACAGAAGCTTAGTATTTATTAATATATTTGGCTCCATCATCTTGATTTATGTTTTTTTGTAAATATGTTTTTATTGATTTATTAGAGAGAAAGGGAGAAGGAGAGAGAAATAGAAACATTGATAATAGAGAAACATTGATTAGCTGCCTCCTGCACGTCCCCCACTGGGGATCAAGCCCGTAACCCAGGCATGTGCCCTGACCAGGAATTGAACCTGTGACCTCTTGGTGCATGGGTCGATGCTCAGCCACTGAACCATACTGGCCGGACTTATGTTTTTTCATGCTTCTGTGTGTTCATTTGTTTTATTATATGGACTTTTCTTTGTTTATATATTCATTCAGTTTGGGTTTTTGTGACATTTCCTCATGATTAGATTCAGTTTTTCTGAATATTAATCTAAATATTAATCTGATATTAATCTAAAAAGATCAGGTTCTTTTTTTTCATTTTTGGTATAGTGGCACAGTGTGAAGCTGTGTACTTGTGAGTGCATCACACCAGGAAGTATATGACCATTTGTCTTGTGGGTAATACTAACTTTATTTATTTATCCTCACCCAGGGACATTTTTCCATTTTTTTTGTTCAGATAGAGTGGGAGGGAGAGAGAGGGAGAGAGAGAAACATTGACGTGAAAGGGACACATTGAGTGGTTGCCACCCACACAACCCAACCAGGGCCGGGGACAAACTGCAACCGAGGTACGTGCCCTTAGTGGGAACTGAACCCGGGTCTCTCCGGACCGCAGGCCGACGCTCTAACTGCTGAGCCAAACTGGCCAGGGCAACATTCACATTTTTTAAGACTACAAATAAATTAGTTATTCTCTAGAAAGTCCTGAATTTGAGTTATATATTTTTGGCTGGAATACTACTTAAATAATGATGTCTTTCTCAGGATGCAGTATCGAGCACATGAAGCCCTTTATGGGTGACGTTAATTGTTACCACTCAGTTTAACTTTTTTTCCCCTTTATTGTGCAGTTGTTATTTTTCTTCTTTTAATTGAGTAATATGTGAGGACATACTTCTGAATACTTCTTTCTCATCAAACTTTCCCCTCGAGGTTTAGTGTCCATTCACTTTCTTGAGTATTTCCTTACTTTATGGCACAGTAAGATGTTTCACACTCATGTAATTTTCCTGTTCTAGCTAGAAAGTTTTTTTTTGTAATCCTCATCCAAGGACATTTTTCCATTTTTTGTTCAGATAGAGTGTGGGGGTGGGAAACATCGATGTGAAAGGGCCACATCGGGTGGTCGCCATCCACACGACCCAACCAGGGCAGGGGACAAACTGCAGCTGAGGTAAATGCCCTTAGCGGGAACCAAAGCTGGATCTCTCTGGACCTCAGGCCGAAGCTCTAACCGCTGAGCCAAACCGGCCAGGGCGAAATAGTTTCTTAATTCAGAATAGATACTAAATGCACTTTAAAGTTGTTTTTTTTTTTTTATCCTCACCCGAGGACATTTTTTCATTTTTTGTTCAGATAGAGCAGGAGGGAGAGAGAGAGAGAAATATCGATGTGAAGGGACACATCGAGTGGCTGTAACCCGCAAGACCAACCAGGGCTGGGGACAAACTGCAACCGAGGTACATGCCCTTAGCGGGAACCGAACCCGGGTCTCTCTGGACCGCAGGCCGACGCTCCAACCGCTGAGCCAAACCGGCCAGGGCTGTTTTGTTTTTTTTTAAATTTTTTTTTCTTGGTTTTAAGAGAGAGAGGAAGGGAGAGGGAGAGAGAGATAGAAACATGTATGAGAGAGAACATCGATCGGCCACCTCCTGCATGCCCCCATTGGGGATTTGGCCCATAACTTGGGCATGTGCCCTGATCAAGAATCGAACTGGCTACCTCTTGGTGCATGGGTCGATGCTTAGCCACTGAGCCATACCGGCTGGGAGTTACTAAATGCATTTTAGTGATACCTTCCTTATAATCATTAAGAGATGATCTTTTCAGAAGAATAATGGGGCAGTGGGAAAGAGTAAATATTTAGAGTGACTTCCTGTCCTTTTCATTTATCTCTACTAATGTACATAATTTGAGGACATGTGCTCTTGATTTCCAGGTTGTCTTGTAATGTTTGGAGTTTTATTCTTTGCAATATTTAACAGGCTATATGTGCAATTAAAATTGTTTTAATGGCATCTTTAATAATTTAATATTCATATATGTACCACAGCCAAGGTAACCATAACATTAGAGCCAATCTAATCACTTAAAATTCTAATCCACAGAAGCCTGTGTTTTATTTTAAGTTTTCTTAGCATATTTTACTTTTTTATATTTTGTAATTCCACACAAAAATGTCACCTATAAAATATACAACCTTTTTTATTAGAGAAGGTTATTGATCTTAGACTTTTTTTGAGGACAGTTGGCTGACACCTATATTGCTCTGGGGGAAGAGGGGTGCTCAGGACCTCTTGGTTGGGGGCACTGCTTTCTCTTTAGTCATAGGCTGCTGGCTGTACAGGATGGTGCTGGCTCTGTGGATGGCAGCTGTTCACAGATCTGGACAGCACCTGTTCTTGAGGATCATATGCTGGATTCTGCTCAGGGTATCTTGGGCATTCTTGTTGATGGTGATCCACACGTAAATGGCTGGCTTCATGATGACAATACCTTTGCTGTTGGCTGCTGGCTCCATGCCCATTGTCTTGAGGTGAATCAGCCCCTTGTAATGAAAAGAGTTGTGGGACTTCAGATTCTTGGGTTCAGTGCTGTACATCTGCTTGTTCCACTTAATCAGAAAGCATGAGCAGTTCCATATGACCATTCATTGCAGGTGGGCAGACAAGGCAACAGCCACTCTCCCTGAGGCAGCCGGAGACGGGAAGAGCAATCTTAAATGTTAAAATTTTTATTTTTCATGCTCTATTGTAGTTCACTGGACACGATGCTAGTTAGTTAGCTAGTTTGTTTTATCAGTCTGCCTATTACATTGCTTTTCAATCCCGGCTGCACACAAGAATCACAGTCCTTTTCCCTCATTGAGGGTAAAACCTGGGTTACTGTGTGACACCATGCCTCTTTATATACTCTTTTCTTTCTTTTTTTAAGATTTTTAAAATTGAATTTTTAGAGAGGAAGGGAGGGAGGGAGAAACATTGATGTGAGAGTGAAACATCCATTGGCTGGCTCCTGCACGCCCTCTACTGGGGATGGAACCTGCAACCCCAGCCTGTGCCCTGACAGGGAATCGAACTGGCAACCTCCTGGTGCATGGGATGACTGTCAACTAACTGAGCCATACCAGTCAGGGCTCTTTTTTTTTTTTTTTTTTTAATTAATAAATTTTACTGATTTTTTAGAGAGAGAAACATCAATGTGAGAGAGACACATCGATCAGCTACCTTCCGCAAGCCCCCAGCTGGGGATCAAGCCCGAAACCCAGGCATATGCCCCGACTGGGAATTGAACTGGGACCCCTCAGTCCTTGGGACAATGCTCAATCCACTGAGCCACACCGGCTGGGCAATCTTTTTTTTTTTAATGTAAAGAATTCTCATGCCCTGGCTAGGTGGCTCGCTTGGAACATTGTCTAGTACACCGAAAGGTTGCATGTTGGATTCTTGGTCAGGGTACATACCTAGGCTGCAGGTTTGATCCCCAGTCAGGGCGTGTTTGGGAGGCAACCTATTGATGTTTCTCTCTCACATCAATGAGTCATTCCAGCCAGGCTTATTTAAATGATTAGATACATGTTCCATTAGATTTAAAACTCCTTTAAGGTCCTTTTCAATAAACACTTCCATTTTATTTTTTTTTGTGTGTGTTTTTTTTTTTTTAATCCTCATCCGAGGATATTTTTCCATTTTTTGTACAGATAGAGTGGGAGGGAGGGAGAGGAAGGGAGAGACAGACAGAAACATCGACGTGAAGGGACACATCGAGTGGCTGCCACCCGCACGACCAACCAGGGCCGGGGACAAACTGCAACCGAAGTACGTGCCCTTAGCGGGAACCGAACCCGGGTCTCTCCGGACCGCAGGCCGACGCTCTAACCGCTGAGCCAAACTGGCCAGGGCTAAACACTTCCATTTTATATAGGGAGTAAGTTGGGAAGTGAAATTGACTCAGCAAAGTAATAAAGGACTTTATTGTTACATTGTTATATGTCTTTAGATTAAAGGAAAAGGGTTCTTAATCTTAGAACAGTGTAACTATGGATCCCCTTTGTATCATTTTGTACTTTAAAACAGTGGCCACAAAATTGCAGCCAATTAAAAAATAATGCTTTTATATTCTACTAAAATATTTTTCTTTCCTCTTACAGCTGGGAATGGAGGAAGAAGACGTGATTGAAGTTTATCAGGAACAAACGGGGGGTCATTCAACAGTTTAGATATTCTTTTTATTTTCTTTTCTTTTCCTCAATCCTTTTTTATTTTTAAAAATAGTTCTTTTGTAATGTGGTGTTCAAAATGGAAGTGAAAACTGACCCTTTATCTCTTTAAAACATCTGGTAATTTCAATTCTAGTGCCCATTATTCATTATTGTTTGTTTTCATTGTGCTGATTTTTGGTGATCAGACCTAAGCCCCTTTCACGTTGCCCTCTCTTTTTAAATATTACATGTGTGCACAGGAAGGCTGCCTTTTTCAGGACTGTGCATCTTCAGGCTTGTAATAAATAAGGTCGACCATTGCAGGTGTTCATAATGACTTCTAATTGGCCCTGAAGTTCTAGCATGTGATTGCTTCACTCCTGGACTGTGACTTTCAGTGGGAGATGGAAGTTTTTCAGAGAACTGAACTGTGGAAAAATGACCTTTCCTCAACTTGAAGCTACTTTTAAAATCTGAAGGTCTGGACCAAAAGAAGAGAAATATCAGGTTGGAGTCAAGATGACAGATAAGGTGAGAGTAAAGACTAACTCCAAAGATGGCTTCACTGAAGAGAAAGTATTTTAAGAGTAAAAAAAAAATCTTGTCAGAAGATCCCAGAAAAGTTTCATTAGCAGTTAATAAAGTTATTCATGCATAAGGGTATACAACAGAGCACTGCTCTTTTTGATTTTATTTGTACTTTTTGGCCTGGGATATGGGTTTTAAATGGACATTGTCTGTACCAGCTTCATCAAAATAAACAAAATATTTGTAAAAATCGTACTAATGTTCCATTTTATTTTTAATTGTAAAGAAGGAAAAAGAAAATGGCTGAAACAAGATTTTCTTGCATAATACTGGAAATTATTGTTTGTACATAGTACAAATAAATTTTTTCTTCAGTACTGTACAGTGATGATGATCATGACTTTGAAGCACTGAAAGTTACTGAAGTGCCTTCTGAATTAAAGATTTAATTAAGGCCACAATACCTTCTTAAATATTCAGTATTCTGTTTTTTTAAAAGCTTGATATTTCTGTATGGTGCACATATATGATACAGTTACCCAGTCATGTTGAATAAATGGGCACACCAAATAGTCTTAATTGATTTATATTGGTAATTTCAATTTTTCCTTTAACAAAATGTTTTCTGCTTACTTAAGCTTTGGTATATTTTGTTTATATTTTCCTTTATTTATATCTTATATATTTACACTTGTATAAAATTAAAGTACCAAATTAACTTCTATTAGAGGACTTAACCTTTTAACTTTTTAATGAATCACAGAATTTAGTATATCTATGCATATACATAATCCAGTTTCATATTATCCCAAATAGAATGTCATCTGAGCATTTGAGAAGAGCAAATAAAACCTATCTCTAATGCATTTTATAAACTGTTATATATCCCTTAACCAGGTCACCTGTTGAAAAATAATTGGTTTGTCCGGCCGGTGTAGCTCAGTGGTTGAGCGTCAACCTGTGCACCAAGAGGTCGCCGGTTCGATTCCCGGTCAGGACACATGCCCAGGTTGTGGGCCTGCTCCCCAATGGGGGGCATGCAGGAGGCGGCCAATCAATGTTCTCTCTCATTGATGTTTCCATCTCTCCCTCTCATTCTCTCTCTAAAATCAACAAAGGAAGAAAAAATTTAAAAAAATAATTGGCTTGCCTTATAAACCTATATCTGAAAAATTATTTGTATTATACTTATATAGCCTAGGTAAATGAGAGGTTTTAGGCCACCACTTGGCATTTATTATATTATATTAGACAGTGACTAGAAATTAGGCCTATTTGTAGAAAATACTCATTGAATTGCATATTTGTATTAGGCCTGAGTAACAAACCTGATAGGCTATTTGACCTATCCAGAATGCGTGAATATGTAGTTTGGTATTTATTTCTGTTTGCAGTTGATTGGATCTTCCAAATGCATTGCATTCTGTTATGGTTAACTTAAAAATGTGCTTATCTGGTGTAGTAGTGTTGATAAAGTAGGCCTTTCACAATGAAAATTTAATAGAATATCAGATTTGGAAGGGACCTTGAATAACATTTAGTGTAGCCACTCTACATGGTGCTTGACTGCAACATCCTAAATTTGTAAAAGACGGGAGAAAATAAAGTCAGTAATGGTAATTCCTGCCACAGGGATGTTTTCCTTGAGTGTTCTTTCTTCTGCTCTTAGTTGAATTATTTGAGATTTTTATTTTTCATCTGGTAAAATATTATTGAATGAATGAATGAGTAAATGAATAAATAGGGTCAACAAGTTTGAGAAAAAGTGTGTGACATTTAAATTCACTATTACTGATAGTGTTTGGGTAATTTTATTTCTATCTTACATAAAACAAGGAGTTGAAAATAAGCATCAAAGTTCAGCCCTGGCCGGTGTGACTCAGTTGGTTGAGCGTCACCCCATGCACCAAAAGGTCCCTGGTTCGATTCCTGGTCGACCAAGGGCACATGTCCAAGTTTCGTGTTCAATCCCTGGTCGTCGTGGGTTCGAGAGGCAACAGGTCCATGTTTCTCTCTTACATCAATGTTTCTCTCTATTCTCTCTAAAATAAATAAAAACATTTTTAAAAATCTTAAGTTCAATACAACGGCAATACAGAATCAAAAGTATGCTTGCCTTCTGGATTGTAGAAGTGCAGTTCCTGTAAAAACCAAATTACCTTTCAAGCATTAGTAGGAAATTTGAGGGAATCATCTGCAAATACTGTTTTTCAGCTGTGGACATGAAGTATAGTGTAGGGCAAAGGAAATTTGTGGGAAAGTTCAGATTCAGATAATGCTTGCTTTAATATTCATGTAATCACTCTATGATAGATACTTATTGATATTAAATAGATGTTAAAGACATCTTTAATAGTGTGATTTTATTTTGTATTTATTTTTGTTACAGATGTTTTCCCTTTTTCACCCACTGATTCCCCCCTCCCTCTCCCTCTCCACCCTGTCCCCACCTTTGTCCATGTCCATTGTTCATACATATATGCATATAAGTTCTGTGATTTATCTCTCCCCCCACCCCCTCTTCAGGGTATTGTCAGTCTGTACCCCACTTCCACGTCTCTGGGACTACCCTGTTCCTCTGACTGTTATGTTCGTTATATTCCTCAAATAAGTGAGATCATGTGATATTTGTCTTTCTCTGCTTGCCTTGTTTTGCTTAGGATACTTTCCAGGTCCCTCCATGTTGTCTCAAAGGATAAGAGATCTTTCTTTCTTACAGCTGCATAGTACTCCATTGTGTATATGTACCACTGCTTTTTTATCCATTTGTCTACTGATGGACACTTGGGCTGTTTCCAGATCTTAGCTATTGTAAATAGTGCTGCTGTGAACGTGGGGGTACACATATTCTCTCTGATTGGTGTTTCAGGCTTCTTAGGGTATATTCCTAGAAGTGGGATCACTGGGTCAAATGGAAGTTCAATTTTTAATTTTTTGAGGTAACACCATGTTGTTATCCATAGTGGCTGCACCAGTCTGCATTCCCACCAGCAGTGTACTAGAGTCCCCATTTCTCCACACCCTTGCCACTTGTTGTTTGAGGATTTGTTGATGGTGGCCATTCTGATAGGTGTGAGGTGACACCTTGTTGTTTTAGTCAGTGTGATTTTAAACATGGGGCAATTATGTGAGTGGTTGGTTCTTCAAATCAATTGGGAGCAAAACCTTAAGATTTGTTAATTTTCAGGGCTCTAAAACAGTGCTGGCCAATAGAATTTTCAGTGCTGTTCAATATGGTAGCCAGTAACCACATGTTATTGAGCACTTGAATTGTGGCTAGTATGACTGAAGAATGGAATGTTTTAACTTACATCCCAGAATCTATACTTTGAGGGTGAGAGATGACCCTCACAAAACAGCTCATATTGCTCAAGTGAAAATTTATCAAGTGATTACCTTGTTTTAAACAGACATTAGATTTTGGATTCTTAGGGTGACATGGATGTGGTTTTGCTTTATAAAGACAATATAATAAAATTCTTAATATATGAATTAGCTCTCTTTAGCTAAATCAGAAAGATCTGCATTACTAAATTTCCACTTACCTGCAACTCTTCAGATACACTGATGAAAATGAAATACTTGGACTAGCCTAAGACTATGTTAGTGTCTTACTAACTGAAATTTTCTGAAACTCAAACAAATTTTGTGTCAGTTTTAGGCTTCTGAATTTATGTGGCGATAGAGAACGTAAAGGATTTAGGTGAGTGAAGAGTTTAATTGGGTTGAATCAAGTATTAGTGGCAGGGAGGGTTGGTGGGAATGGAGTAACTTCCCAGAGTGGTTAGGTGTGGGTTGAGGTGAACAAGATAAGATGGAACTAATCGGGCTCAGAATGGAACTTCATTATAGAATGAAGTTTCTCTCTTTTACCACCATCCAACTTACTTTTTAGTTTTCTTCTAGGCTTTAAGGTCTAGGTATTTGTAGGAACTGGAAGTAAGAGTAGACCCATGGTCTGGAAATGTTGTGTGCCCACTGCAGACCATTGGCTTCCTTGTGGAGTTCTTGATGGAAATGAAGATGTTTCTTCAAAGCAGACTTTTGCCTAAGGAGACAACCCCACCCACAATTCCAATAATGATTAAGCATCCTAGAAATGGTCCTTTTAAGCTGGTAGGAGAACTTTGGATTTGAGTAATCATCAATTAGATACGGGGATACTGATCTTGCATTTTAGACTGCATCTTTCATCATCCTCTGTTCAGTTAATTATATATGAGGTTTAGGGTATCATGAGCTTCCTACTGGGAAAGTAAAAGGAAAGGCGTAACTCACAGTTCTTAAACTTGTGTTGCTGGAAGAGGGACTCCCTTATTTTAGAGGAAAAACAGGCCAGAGAAACTAAAGTACCTGGGCCATTGTCACACAGTGAAGATGAAATACATTAAATTCTAACGCTTGATGGAGTAAGGTTCTACTTCCTCACACTTTTCCCTTTTTTTTTTAATCCTCACCCGAGGACATTTTCTGATATTTTGTTCAGATAGAGTGGGTGGGAGGGAGAGAGAGAGACATCGACGTGAAAGGGACACATCAAGTGGCTGCCACCCATGTGACGCAACCAGGGCCGGGGACAAACTGCAACAGAGGTACGTGCCCTTAGCGGGAACCAAACCTGGGTCTCTCCAGACTGCAGGCCAATGCTCTAACCTCTGAGCCAAACTGGCCAGGGCACACTTTTCCCTTTATTACTTGGTTTTCTGCTTTCAGCTACTTGCACTAAGCCTTACAAAATTGTTCAACTTCCTTTCATCTGACCTGTCAGTTTTCTTTTTGTGAAAAACAAACTCCAATAGCTTGCTTTTGGACTCAATACTTACGAGTTCATCCCCACTTCTATGACACATGCAATACATAGTTTTGAAATTGAATCAAGATTTCACTAATGATCCATTCTGTACTTCACATAACATCAGGAAAGTCCAGGAGAGGAACGACTCAAGGTTAGGTGGAAAACCTTGAAATAGAATTCTGGCTGTCTTCCTTTTCTGGTCCTCTAAAGAGTATTAGCTTAGATGCAGCTTTAAGAGTCAATTAAAACCATATTACCCGCTCAGCTGGTGTGGCTCAGTGTTGAGCATCGACCCATGCACCAAGAGGTTACTGGTTCAATTTCCAGTCAGGGCACATGCCCAGGTTGTGGACCCGATCCCCAGTGAGGGGCATGCAGGAGGCGGCCAATCAATGTTCCTTTTCATTGATGTTTCTATCTTACCCCCTCCCTTTCTTTCTCTCTCAAATAAATAAAG